CCTATGCAGACCAAATGTTCCTCCTGAAGAGAGGTCTACTAGAGGTAAGACTATCCCCACATCCCATGAAGACAGTCCACATGGCACAGACTGTCTTTGCTTCTGACCTTTCAATGAACGACTGCTCACTCTGTGTTTCCGTCCCTCGACAGCACATCCTGTTTTGCATCATAGACAGCGGCTGTACGTCTCGAGACGTCCTGCAGAGCTACTTTGATCTGCTGGGAGAGCTCATGAAGTTCAACATTGATGCCTTCAAAAGATTCAACAAATATGTCAACACACCAGAAAAAGTACGACTTCAGACCTTAAATGCGTTACCAAAATGTATACGCTACAAATTCAATGTTACTACTAGTTCTCTGCGTGTGTTGTGGATGAACACATGTGTTTGATAGTTTTGTTTCCTCTGTAGTTTCAGACCTTCCTGACGCAGATCAACAGCTCTCTGGTGGACTCCAACATGCTGGTGCGCTGCATCACCCTCTCATTGGACCGCTTCGAGAGCCAGACTGAAGATGTCAAAGGTGAACAGGGCTTGAAAAATAAATCATGTTGACTCGTCGCTTAGAAAATAAATGTTAAGATACTTGGTTAATGAAAGAAATCCCGGGTTTCGATTGATTGGTCATTGATATTGACTTTTATATTCCGGTACTTATTCCCCTTTTCAAGCCCTTTTGAATTAACGCTATATAAATAACGCAAACCGCTCTGAAGAAGGCTCCGTATGGGAATGAGTTTGCATGTTTTTGTGAAGTGAGGCAATAAAACTGTGGAATCGTAGCATTTTCCATCCTTGACATTGAAAACTCAGATATGACATATTTCACATTTTCTTTCCATCTAAAAAGAATTAGTGTGAATTGTAAAAGGAACATTACAAATGCCCATCAGGGAGTGATTGCAGACAATTATCCAGTCATAGGTAGATCTGATAACTTGTGTTTGATATAGGTCTATGTTTTAGGTCATTTACTATTATTTTCAAGTGTTGATTTAAGTGTTTTATTTCCCAGTGGTGGAGGTGCTCTCTGAATGCTGTCTGCTGTCCTACATGGCCAAGGTTGAGAACAGGCTGGCCTTCCTCTTTCGACTCGTCAACATCATCAACGTACAGACGCTCACACAGGTCTGGTTTCATTTTCTCCTTGGACCTTTATTAAAGAGGACATATTATGCTATGTCAACATTTTATTTTCTGCCTCTACTTTGACATGTCTCCATGCTTTAATGTTCAAAAAGGTTTTATTTTCTCATACTGCCTGTGCCGCAGCACCCACCGTTTCTGCCAGGGGGGGCGTCTTGCCGTCATTTGACGCCCTTATTCAGCTCGGAACGCCCTGAACTCGAGCCGAGGGCGTCCAAAAAAATAAATAATTTGAGAGAAGATCGAGAGTTTTTATCGCTTGAAATGAAGAAAAGCAAAAAGGACAAGGACATCCCTCTGTTGGAGGGGCAAGGAGTCTGGTGGGATTATTTTCTCCGCCAGCAAAGCGTGTTCCTTTGATGGAAAGTGTACTGCCGACGAGCCTTGACGGGGGGTGCTAGAGGAGCATGCGCGTGAACTGCGAGCGCCGGAGCCTCGCAGCGGCGAAACTGAGGCTCCGTGGTAAACTGTGGTAACATGAAGAGCCGTTTAGGAGCCGAAAGAGACGGCTCTTCTTAGTGAGCCGAGCCGAGCCAATTGATCCGGCTCACTAAAAAGAACCGGAATTCCCCTCACTAATACGTAAAGAGATAGTGGGTGTTTCTCAATCTCGAGTAAGGCTGCACACTTGCTCGCCTGTTCAACTCTTCGTTTTCCGAATGCCAGGAAGTATTCTTGCCTCGCTTCTGAAGCAAGATGCTCGGAAGACATGTGCTACCAAGCAAGCGTACTCGAGATTAAGAAACACCCAGGATCTATAACGGCCCCTACACACGGCGGCGTGCGTTGACTCTTCAACGCTTCTGTCCATTCACTTTGAATGGGGTAACTGACGTCACATTTCGGCGAAATGCATTGTGGGAGCAAAGCGTTGCTTCTCTCGCGGTGCTCGCTGCAAAAGTAGAGCAATGTTCAACTTTTGACGCTTCGATGGAGGCG